AAGAGTAAAGTGCTACAGCTGTATACATCTATAGGCTTCCCAAATATGGACTGTTAAAAAACAAACGGCCGGGGATTAGGATTGGCACCTGTAAATATTCCTCAAGAGCTATTCGTGATTTATTCAAAAACTCATCATCCAGTGACTTGTACCACTTTTTAGTGGGGGCTGGTAGTTCTTTTGTTAAATTTGGTGAACACTGAAAAATAGAAAAATGCAATTAATAATAATAATCTAAGACTACAAGCTGTTATTATTAAGATATAAAAGACTTAAGCCAATCAGGAGAGCAAAATCAGTATCTCATTGACCTCAGACAATATCACAATCTCTCATTAATCCCAAGGTTAAAGATAACATCTACACTCAAAAAGTAAGAGGAACATTTGGCTAAGCTTTTGTTGCTTAGCTTGCTTCTCTCGTGCTCTGCAGCTCAAAGTGTATTTATATCACAGTGCAAAGACATGAGCATGGGTTTCATATTCCTTCATCAGAGCCCTTATTGACTCTAATGAAGTGGGCTCTGAGGAATTTCCAAACCATCTCTGTGAGAAGGAATGAATAATTTGAATAAGAATGAAAACCTCTTTGAGTTTGGTATGAAGTTTCTGGAAATCTTTAAATTTCCTGGAAACCACCCATCCTTCAGATGTAGCTCCAGGTTCACTTCTTTTTGGAACGGTACCAGGAGATATTGGGGTATCTACTTGTGAACAATGAACCACAATGATATAGACTGGAATAGACTTGTCTTCTTCATTTGTCCACTGGGGAAAAATGAGCAATTATATACAGGTAAGTGAATATAAATGAATAGAAAGGGACCAGGACCTGAAAGAGTGGATTCAATTTAACCACAACAACAATTTACAAAGAGGGAATGATGAAAAAAAAGAAACAGATAACAATAAATAAATGATATTATAAATGATGGATAGATAAGTGTGTGGTTGGATAGATGGGTGGGTGGCTAGAAGGAATGGATGAATGGTTGGGTGCATAGATAGATGAATGGGTGGAATAGGTGGATAGATAAAATTATGTATGGGATTATGCGAGGCTGGATGAATGAACAGAGAGAGAAATGGATGGAAGTGAAGTGGATGGGAGTGAAGTAGTGGGTAATGATTCATAATCACCTCTACACTTTCAATCAACACTTTCCATTTGCCAATGTTTTCACACCAAACATCTGAAAACAATTTTTTTAAAAAGGAATAAATATTAGCCATTCCTAGGATGGGGAAATACTAGGTAAAGTTAGCATAATTGCAATGCATTTTCAGTCTGTTTTAAATGGGATACATTTTCAAGATTGCATCTACTTCATACCAAAAAACAGCCCCAAAATGCACTGTAATGCCAACTCGATCCAATGTTTTCCTCAACCTCAGAATGGCTAACATTCTAGTGACAAGGACTTAATATTGGATCGAAGCAGCATTATTGTAATTACATCTTTTTACCTGTTCTTTCAATATGAAACTCAAGATGTCTCCTCTCAGTAATCAGCGCTCCAATTTCATCTTCTATCTTTTCAAGTTCCTAAGGAACAGGTGATATTTTTGAAGCAAATTTAGTAAAATTAGTAGTGGCAAGGTAATGTAACACGATGGTAACACAAACTGATAAATGACAAGGGTACCTATATTGATAAAATATAGCAGTAACAATATATTTCTGTGGTGGATTTATAATTTTGAACAGAGGGGGGGGGGGGGTATGACCCCAAATAGCCACTAGATTCATCACTGTTTGGGCTTACTGTAGATTAATGTTGCTAGAGGTCCACTCATCTAGTAGATCCACCTCCATACTTACCTCAGATTCTTGTCCACCATAACTTCTTTTTGTCAACTCTAATTGGTGTGTCTTGAATGAAAATCACAAACAATTCCATGACATAAGTTAAAGCATCTAAGAATCAATATCATATTATAACATCAGATCAAAGCACAAACCATATGCTAGGACTCTACTTACTTTTGCAGCTAGTCTTTGGTCTAAAACCTCCAGTTGCTTGACAATGGAATCACTTCTTTCTTCAACTGTGCTTGGCTTGCGCACTGGAAAAGACATTAATTATAACACTTTGTACACTCATCAAACATTTTTAAAGGCATTCCTGAAAATATGCTTTCTATAAACCTACTTAATACATATGTACATACTTCATTTGTACCAAAAATTAAATAATTACGATTTAGCTCAAAAGAATATAACAGAAGAGGGTAACTTGATACTAAAAGCTGTGAATATGACTTCTAGAAAAACATTCAGTACTAATTTGCATGAGATTGACTTCTACATCCCCCCCCCACACACACACCTAGCTATTATTATGTTCCATGAACTTGATGCATGAACAACCTCATTCTTCCCCTCCCACACCTTGGATTAGGGTTTAATTTTTTTCTCCAACAACAGCCAGCTATAAGTATGAAAGCATGTTATATCTATAAGTATGTAAAGCATGTTATATCTAACCTGGGTTGGGAGTCCAATCAGTATGTCCAGCATCCTAAAAAAACACATTAAAACAAACAAACAAAAGGTGAAAAATGAGTTGCAGTTTACATATCCAATAAAAAACTTTGCTATCCTTTGCTTCATATATCAAAACTACTAACTTAAGAATAAGATTCTTTGTCATAACTTTTACTAGGAATTAAAAACAAAGAAATAGTACTCAAGGGAATGGTATATGACATAAAAATGGGAAAATAAAACTTTTTATTTTTATGTCTAGTATAGATAGCAAGGTGAGTGCACATATGCATATTATGGAATATGCATGTTTTAAGTATTAATTAAGTCATTAATATTATTTAAGACAATGGAATGTAACTAACCTCTTCATCAGTGGAAGGTAATTGATCATTCCAGTTCAACTCAAGGTGAGTATCATCTTTCTGTTGTGCTCGCAAGTCATCCATTTCAGCTTCTAATTGACAGACAAGCATGAAATACTCCTGGCTCAAAACAAACCTGAAATTACATGGCCAATAATCATCCATCAACAATCAAGTGCACCCTTAAGACCATACTGAAAAGTCCTCTTTGGAGGGGACAGGCAAAGGATGGGTGAGAATTAAGCGTGGCTCCTCAAATTAATTACATGTATTCAGTTAACAGTCAAAGGGCAAGGCATGGTTGTAGGAAGGGTGGATAGAGCCATCCAACAGATTATAAATTGATATCCAATAAAGTTGATGCTGATATCCAATAAATTTGTCCACTAGATAAGATTTATCCATCAAATAGCAGTATCCACCCTTGGTACAACTGGGCCCAGATGCGCCACCAATAATAATAATCAATAATAATAATAATAATGGAATTAAAGAGTTTTATACTACCTCCTATAGAAATTATTTTCCAGGTGTTTGTAAACTTTTGTCTGTGCTTCAAAAAAGCACTGCAAATCATTAGTACCATTGAGAAAACCCTCTATGTCTCTGACCAAGGTAGTGTCAAGCATAATGGACTTCTCTGATGAAGGTGTGACGTACACTTGGTAGATTTCTTGTGTACTCTTGATGATTTCAGTAGACTTGACTAGCTTGAGATTTTCTATTGCCATCCAGAAACTACAGAAAATATATGAGGTCTAAGGGATAAGGCTGCATTCATAATGTATACCTGACGGGGGTGGAGAGGGGGATTGTGGGGTGGCAGGGAATATTTTTTGGTGCAATACCATGTAAAATTTTGGTTCCTCACTCTGAAAAAAATTGAGATGCACAAATAGGCCCGTTTTGAATTCCAAATTACCACTGTGTTTCTTGATTACAGACTCATTTGCACAGGGTTAGCCTCGATTTTGTGCAGAATATTCACGTGTTCCAGTCAAGGTCCATCAAGTTTCAAAGTGTTTGTATTGTTGAAGTTGTGCATTCTTTACTTTACCATTGGTATTTGTGAATATTTAAATACTGATACAAGGCTAACCCTGTGCAAATGAGTCTGTAATCAAGGAACACAGCGGTAATTTGGAATTCAAAACTGGTCTATTGATCTACTCACAAATAATTTTCTGACCATCTCTGAATTTCACATGCCAATTCATGACAGAGGAAACATAGTTTTAATGATAAAGGATGACTGGCAAAATAACTTTAGAAATAAGGAAAATTAGGTATTTTCAAACAAAATGACATTATTAATGTTTGGATTGTAATTATATTATGGGTTACCTGTGGTACACTCAACGAAGGAAGCCCAATCATACTACTAGCATTTGCATACCTAAGCATATTCTTGCTATGGGTGTGGTTCTGTAGGTAAGACATGAAGAAGCTTCTAGCCAGACTATTATCCATAATTTCACTGAAACCAAGTACTTTTGTAGCCTTATTAGCTGGTTTTGGAACACCTTTTGCCTTGTCTGATGTCATAGTTTGACTTTTCTGCTGTTCAGTTGGATTGTGTGATGTATAATCTGGGCCACCTAAGGATTGCAACAGTTAAAACACATTATTCCCTTAACCATAAGATGCTTTATACAGCTATTTCAAAAAGTGTTGGTGAACGTTTATTTGATGTATCTTGCATACCAAGGCCAAAATACACTGTCAGCATTCAATAAGCAAAAGGTCACAATGAAATTTTATTCATGAAAATTTCCCATGTTTTGCATGTGTCTTTTCAGACAATGAACAAAATAATACTCTAGGGTATGACATGTAGTCTTAAATGGGAAAACATTACACCCAAACTAGAGGGCTATTTTCAAAAACTTGTGATTTAAATCCAACCAGTGAAATACATATAAACTAATTAAAACAATCTTATTCATACCCAACAGCTTTATTCTTTTCTCACACTGTGCCTTGGCAACAGTACACTGGTTGATGTAGCGCTTCAGGTTTCTTGACCTCAGTTGAGAGTCTTTCTTAAGAGGTTGATTTGTCTCCTCTTGGTTCAACTTCTCAATGCCTTTTAAATTATTGATTGTTGTTGCTTGCATGATTTCAGCAATTATGTGATATCTGAAGAAAGATGGAATAAATATATTACTCTTCTATTACAACTTTTCAAGGTCAATGTACATAGTTTTATCTAGTAAATTGAATCTGGGACAGCACAAGAAAATAAATAAAACTATGTAAACCTTCCCAATTTTCCAGCAGCCTTTTCCTCCAATTAACCACTCCCCTCCACCCTCTCCCCCCCCCCCTCCTCCCAACAC